AATGGGGAAAAAACCAGGTTTGAAACCCTAGAAAGATCATTGCACCTTTATCAGTAGATGCAACCTAATAATTTAAGAGTCATTGGGTCAAAATTTGGGGTCACAATGACCCTTAATATAAAATCAATGACCAATCAATAACTTGTAAAAATGGCATGTACAGGCAGGGACATCCTTGTACTACAGTACATGTCTAGTTATTGAGGAACATTCATAAAAATAGTGTAATCTGATTGGTTATTTATCTCGCACGACTTAATCATCCCGTGGCTACGATTTAGTAACTCGTGGCCACGACATAGTGTCTCGTTCCCACGACTTAATTATCTCGTGGCCATGACTAAGTAACTGGTGGCCACAACATAGTATCTCGTAGCCACGGCTTAATTATATTTTGGCCACGACACAGTATCTCGTGCGCACGAGATAAATAAAAAACACACATGTCACCTTTTGCCACCGTACATATTTCCTTTTTTATAACTTTGGAATTGTGGTGATGCAGGTAGTTGTTGTTATTTTGCCTTCGGAATGTTAGTTTTTTTATCTTCTGTTTCAAATATTTCGAAATCATAACTAGTGATATCGATATCTAACGCCTCCAAAGTTTTATTATGTCTTTTGATTATATTTTTCAGAGGAACAACTTTATTGTTTGTATGCAAACTTTGTTTAAGCATCGAAGAAGCTCCGTCATTTTGAGAATCGGTATCTAAAGAATGCGTTGCCTTGTAAGCTTCTTTTCGTCTTCGATGGCAATTCATAGAATTCCGCCGCCAGAGTCGACGTATTGTATCATGTTCCCATTTACTTGTATTGTTATCATATCTGTCCTTCTTGGACTTGTCACCAACTTCCTTGCAAAGATATCGAGGTAGAAAACCTTCCAAGAACAGAATTATCGACAATTTTTGTAAACGACAATGAAGCTTAGCGGCAATTTCACCTCCGTAATTGCTCATTAAATCTGTACACGTGTTTGACATCATTGCAATAAGGGCATTCAGAAGAAGAATTGTTGTCAACAATACAAACAGAACAAAAACGAATACCGCTAAATAAGGATGCCTAGCCCGAAATAAAATCTCTAAATCTCCTATACCAATCATAATTGTAAGCATTTTAAACATAGTTGTGTTAAAAAGAATAAAGTCGTCTTCCTCCGTGTCCGCGCCTTGCATTATCATATACATTGCTACTGAAAACGCAACTAGAAAAAATGCCATAACCAGTGCGAATTTAAGTAAATCGACAATCGCTCTCTGAATCAAAACAGTGAAAATACTGAAAGCTTTAAATGTCTTTAAAAAGAACATAACCAAGTACCAACCTATAATAACAGCAAAAATAAGGCAGTAATTTTCATACCCAGAAAATGAGCCTGAAGCTTCGGTCGCTGCAAGAACACAATCAAGCGTGAGAAATAATGAAAAAAGGACAAAATATATTCTAAAGACTTGGTTCGAATATGGCGAACCAAAGTTACGGAACACTCGTGTCAGAAGATTTGATGATATCCTGTACGAAAATCGGGAAATCATTATTCTAGATATTTCCATCGCCAGGTAAAGTAAGGCAAATACAAGACCAACAACAGATACTACAGACACAAAAGTGTCGTGTGTAACAACATAAGAAAATTTAACCGTGCTATTTGTAGATACTGGTGTTTCCAGTATTGACCTGTAGACTGCAGCTACCGAGAGAACAACCATGAATACCAGATGGACCGCAAACCAGCTTAAGAAAAACCAACTGTATGATTTCCATTTTGCTCTGATAACTTCTTTAACTGGAAGGAAGTCAACAAAATGAAACGCATTGTTTGTTTCCTGATGGACAATATATTCCAATATGGATTCATGATGATCATGTTTGGTACTACTGTCGTCTTCTTTCTTATGGGTTTCCTCAAAAGTTAACTGAACTGTTTCTATTTCAGTGATGTCGTACTCTTCATCAATAAAAAATCCATCCCTTGTATTTTTGGTATGATAGACCTGGAACAAGAAAATGTATAAATTAATCAGTCGTTTTGTGTTTAAATTTAATGTATTACTTCTGTGAAAGTCAATGACAGTGTTTCTTTGCAAGGACTTGACAAGTTTTAATTACATTCTGTTATGTTGTACAATGGAAAGTCAAGGATAGATTTAATTAAAGATCTTTGGACAAGCTTTTTAAATTGGGGGCAAAAAGCTACATAGAGATAGAAAGAAGAATAAAAGGCTGAACACAAATTTAATGTGAAATAAGAGCCACCGCCGGGCGGGGGCAACGCTCGACTTTTTACTTTTTCTAAACGCAAACATAGAAAGGTTTGAACATATATTAACGTTTCCTTTTTATAAATTTAGTTGGTCTGTCTTGCACATTAGTTTTCTTTATATATTTGTATATATATGAATAGAAACATTAAGCATATTTCTAAAAATAGCAACAGTATGCAATTTCTTAAAATAGCAACATGACGCAATTTCTAAAAATAGAAAAAATGATGCAATTTCTAAAAATACAAAAAAATGACATAATATATAAAAATAAAAAAGTGACGCAATTTCTAAAAAATAGCAACAATGATGCAATTTCTAAAAATAGAAAAATTGACGCAATTTCTAAAAACAGAAAAATGACGCAATTTCTAAAAATAGCAACAATGACGCAATTTCTAAAAATAGCAACAATGATGCAATTTCTAAAAATAGTAAAAATGACGTAATTTCTAAAAAATAGCAACAATTTCTAAAAATAGCAACAATGATGCAATTTCTAAAAATAGAAAAAATGACGCAATTTCTAAAAATAGAGAGAAAAAAATGACACAATTTCTACAAATAGAAAAAAATGACGCAAAATAGCAACAATGACGCAATTTCTAAAAATAGAAGAAAATGACGCAATTTCTAAAAATAGCAACAATGACGCAATTTCTAAAAATAGAAAAAAGACGCAATTTCTAAAAATAGAAACAAATGACGCAATTTCTAAAAATAGCAACAATGATGCAATTTCTAAAAATAGTAAAAATGACGCAATTTCTAAAAATAGCAACAATGATGCAATTTCTAAAAATAGAAACAAATGACGCAATTCTAAAAATATAGAAAAAAATGACGCAATTTCTAAAAATAGAAAAAATGACACAATATATATATATATATATATATATATGCACATATATATATATGCATGTATATATATATATATATATATATATATATATATATATATATATATATATATATATATATATATATATATTATATATATATATATATATTTACACACACACACACACATTTATATATATATATAGATATATAATACATATACTATACATACACACACACAATAAATGCAAATAAATTCTGAGAAAATTCAGTAATATAACCTTCAAGGTCAAGGTCATTTAAGAGCCCAAGCAAATTTGGGTTTGATAAACAACAAGGTCTGGACCTTAAGAATGTTCTGTTATAATATGAAGTTTATCACTTCAAAAATAGCAAAGTTACAGTCAGTTACCGCCAAAACAATGAAAATTTCAATAATTTGACCTTCAAAGACAATGTCATTAATGAGTGAAGGTCAAGGTCTTTCGGTATATTTTTAACAGTTATCTTTGAAGATTATTATGTTCAAGTTTGAAGACAATCCATTCAAAAATAACAAAGTTACAGCCAATAATAGCCAAAAAAATGAAAATTTCAATAATTTGACCTTCAAAGTCAATGTCATTGATGAGTGAAGGTCAAAGTCATTGATGGTTTTTTTAAGGGATATCCTTGAAGATTATTATGTTCCAGTTTGAAGATAATCCATTCAAAAATAACAAAGTTACAGCCAATAACAGCATGAACAAGCAAAAATTGGACTTTTAACCTTGAAGGTCAAGGTCATTTATGGATGAAGGTCAAGGTTAGTGTGGTCTACTGAAAGGTCTTGTCCCAAGGGTTGTTGTGGCCAAGTATGAAGACAATACACCAAGAAATAAAAAAGTTATGATCCAGGTACAAGTTTTCGGACGGCAACGGCAACGGCAACGGGAAAGGCAAAGGCAAAGGCAACGCCGACCTGACTATAACAATACCTCTACTTTTTTTTTCAAAAAAAAAAGTCGAGCTAATAAAATGACAGAAAATAATGACATGTCCAGTCATATATCAGTAGAATGCAATTTTAGACTTTAATATTCAAGACAAGACCACGGCATGGTCACATACGGTGCACATTTTTATAGTTGTAAAGTATATAGGTTATAACAACATATGTGAGACACAAGTCCATTTAACTTTATTAAAACTGTAAATGTTAATGACAAGACACTGGATTTAATATGCTGACTGAACTTTGCATAAAATCTTTTAAAGTGTACAAAAATGAAATAGCTACACTTGTCATAGAATTTTGACGCAAACGTGCGTAGTTGTAAGAATTATTTATAATTATGTGTAAGCTTTCACATACTGATATTATTTTCTGATATGTATGTACCAGTTGAAAATACAAACATGAGTACTACATGTACTCTAGTACTGGTTTAACTCTCCAGGAACGATGGTTAGGAAACTACCCGCCTATATGACTGAAATACTGTTGGAAAAAGGCGTAAAATAGAACAAACAAACAAACTACATGTACTATAATGAAGTCAAAAAGTGAATTAATTGCATTATATTGTGTAAGCAACGTTATACACATATATCAACCGCACTGTAGTAATATAATGCGAAATGGCCTACATTTCGCTGAATAGACTTATCGTCTACAAAATGGACTTCTGTCTTACAAGTTCTGGTCTAAGTGAGATAGATGATATCATTTTTAATAATGAGCATGTAAAGAATGACACAAAATTGTATTTTTTAAACTTATTTATACTGGTATATTCAACAAGAGCGATCTGTAATCACATGTGTCGCCTCATGATGGCCAATTTCATGTTGGGACAAATTTTGTGACAGACGGACAGACAGACGGACAGTGCACAACTAGACTTGGTACTGATCATTCCTGTAAAGTTTGGATAAAATTGCACCAGTAGTTTATGAGGAGTAGTCCGGACAAGCTTTTGCGTATTTGGCAACACAAAGAAAAAAACACCTTTTTATCAAAGGGCCATAAGTCGGCCAAAATTCATTCAACCGGAAAACCCGTGCAATATGCGCAAGGACTTGAGCTACAGATCAATCCTGTAAAGTTTCATTGAAATTGCATTAGTGGTATAAGAGAAGTAGTCCGGACAAACTTTAAAATTAAAAATTATTAAAGGGCCATAACTCTGACAAAAATCATTGAACCGGAAAATGCTGACAATATGCACAACTAGACTTGGTACTGATCATTTCTGTAAAGTTTGGATGAAATTGCACCAGTAGTTTATGAGCAGTAATCCGGACAAGCTTTTGTGTATCTGGCAACACAAAGAAAAAAACACCTTTTTGTCAAAGGGCCATAACTCGGCCAAACATCATTCAACCGGAAACCCCGTGCAATATGCGTAAGGACTTGAGCTACAGATCAATCCTGTAAAGTTTCATTGAAATTGCATTAGTGGTATAAGAGAAGTAGTCCGGACAAACTTTAAAATTAAAAATTATTAAAGGGCCATAACTCTGACAAAAATCATTGAACCGGAAAATGCTGACAATATGCACAACTAGACTTGGTATTGATCATTCCTGTAAAGTTTGGATGAAATTGCACCAGTAGTTTATGAGCAGTAGTCCGGACAAGTTTTGTGACAGACGGACAGACGGACAGACAGACAGACAGACAGACAGACAGACGGACAGACGGACAGACAGACAGACAGACAGACAGACGAGGAGAAGTGATCCCTATATATCGCCACTACTCCGTAGAGGCGACACAAAAATGATCGTATTGGAATTTTCACATATGAAATGGACATTTGTGTTTTAAAATATAATATGCTTAAATTGCAATAATCATAGAGCACATAACTGACACATCATAAACAATATCATAAACAAGGACTTAAATTTCTAATTAAGGGGCGATGTGTTAGTGCCAGTGTTTGAATGTTGTTACATGTATTACATGGATTGATCACGTGATTTTTAGCGAAGACGCACATGTTTGAGCTCTGGGATATTTTGTACATATTTTGTGATATATTAACTATACTGGCAAAATTTTATTTGGATTTTGTTAATTATGTTGTGAACTTAATGGATAATGAGTGAAAATAAAAACAAACACAGGACTAAACGGAAAAAAGTGGTAGTGGAGATGAATATGTCGCATTGAGTAAGGCGTTTAGAGGAGGCCCGTCTAGTGGCCCAGTAGCGGACAAGAATGAGCTCAAATCAGTAAGTGACATTATTTGTGAAACGAATTCTGTTTTGTTTGATACATCTTCAGTTTTTACAGAGAGTGATATAGACAAATCTGCTATGGCGCAGAGTACGATCTCTCTAAATACTGAGACGACAGTAGTATCAAATAGTGACATAATGGCGTTCTTGATAAACTTGGAAACTAAAATTGTTAGTGTTGAGATGCGCCTTAATAAGCTTGATTTGTTAGACCACAAAGTTACTCAATTTGATAAAGACATTAAAACTTTGTTCACACAAATTCACGATCATAAGAAAGCTACAACTGACAGTTTACACGGATTAGACGATAGTTTGGAAAGGGTTGAATTTATCAGTGCTCAGTATCAATCGCGCATTGAATCTCTAGAGAAAGAGAATGATGATCTGAAGGACCAAGTAACCTACTTGAAATCTCAATCAATGCGCAACAATCTCATTTTCGGGGGATTCAAGGAAGAGGAAGATGAAAATCTTGATGGCGTTATGCGCAAATTCTTTGTGGATAAGTTCAAAGTGGCACAGAGTATTGTTGATTCTATGAAAATAGAGCGAGTACATAGATTAGGCCAAGTTAAGGGTAATACAACGGAGCCTCGCAAAGTTGTCTGCAGATTCGCTTATTTCTCAGACCGTGAAATAGTTAGATGACAAAACAAACA